TGAGCACGGGTCCTCTGGTAAGCAATTAAAGTATGTAAAAATAAATACCAAATACCACAAAACACACTGTGGTTGAATCTGATAATTGTCTTTCTATACACAGGAGAGGAGACACACACACAGACACACACACACACACACACACACACACACACACACAGACACGCACACACACTTACAGTGAACTCCCCGGTAACAGCATCAAAGCCGACATGGATGGTGTGTTCGAAGTCTGACGGCAGAGAGATCTCTGGGCGCTCCTTCCTCTTATAGGCTGAATGACAAAGGAACAAAAAACAAACACACTGATTGATTTTTGTAAGTGTGTTTTGTAAGTGTTGTAATAAAACACAGAACAGTTTTCCACCTTAATGACTCTGGATTATCCCAGGATTTATTTCCGTTTAGAATAAATAGACACTAAAGCGCGGCAGACCCAAAAACTTGGCGTTGAAAGGCTGCAGAGGAGTATCTGAGATGCTGGTTGCACCATTTCGATAATGATCCCGGCTCTAACAGAAAATCCTAAATGCAGCCCTTCATGAGGGGAACAAAGAGATTCAGGTTCATTAAAATTCCTGAAAAGATCTTAAATCCAGAGAGGATCACTGAAAAGAAAGAAACAGTGGGACAAAAGTTCATGCAAAACACGGGAGAGAAAATCAGGAGGAGACGGAGAGAAAAGTACAGAAACAGAGTGTTTCAGAGACGCCGTATGTTGGAAAGAGTGTGAAGATCTTCTGGGAAAACATAACTCCAGTAAGAATCACACGCAGCAGATACCTCTGGATGGACTCACACTGAGGACCACCAGCTTCCTGCAAAGCATCATGGGTAATCTGTGTCCAAGTGTGGGCACGTGAAGCACATCAACAAAAACAGTTTTTCCTCCACAGATGCACAACAGTTTGTTTAGGTGGAGAAAAATATACTTTACTGCTGATCTAAAAAGAACCAGCAGCAGATGAGTAACAATCAACCAACCAACATTGGGATCAATGTTCTGTTGCACGATTGAACATTTGCCAAACTTTAACTCATGGCCTCATATTTGACTCTGGAATATTTTGTTATACAGGGGAGCTCACGGTCGACTCGGTGACCGCCCAAATCATCACCCCCATCACTGCAGTGGTTTTCTCCGAAATGTGTAGCTGTGCATTCAAATCTCCACTTCAGTCCCTGTTCCAAGTCTTTTAGTTTGAGTAGATGTAACTTTGCATGCCATGCCGCCATGTTCTTATTAGAGAGAAGAGGCTTTCTCTTCCAAACATTGCTCTACCCGTTTGGTGTTTTTCTAATTGTACTGTCGTGAATTTTAACCTTTAACATGCTAACTGAGACCTGTAGAGTCTGAGGTGGAGCTCTTGGAGTTTCTGCAGTTTCTCTGAGGGCTGATGCTTCACTCGCTAGTTATTTTCACAGTATTCGCTCACTCCATCTTTAAGGATTCACTAGCTTAGCTTAGCTCATAGCTGACTTGCTAGCGGCATGGCCTCTTCACCTCTCCCTCCTGCACTTTCCTGCTTTGTGAGTCAGATGTTCAGTTACTCCTTTAGTAGTAACAATAAGTGTAATAACTGTAGCCTGTTTGCAGCTTTGGAGGCCACGATCACTGAAAAGGAGACCCGGCTTTGCCTTGAAAAACCCGTCGCTATAGCCAGGCCCGGTTGCGGCAGATGACCGCCCCTTTTCTGAGCCTGGTTCTGCTGGAGCAGGGGTAGGGAACGTTAGTCCTGCAGGTTTTAGATCTGACCCTGGGTCACCACACCTAAATCAAATGATTAGTTCATCACCAGGCCTCTGGAGAACTTCATACATGTTGAGGAGCTAATTTAGCCATTTGAATCAGGACACTGGCACTCGAGGCCTGGAGTTCCCTGCACGATCTGATAT